ATTGTGACTACTGACTTGACAGATGTGACAAACAAGAAATAAGGAACTCAGATGATCATGTGAGGATTTAAATAAGTTCTTAATCTTGTCATGCAAATAAACCAGCTCTTCTGTTTTTTATCTAAATCCTTTAGCCTTCTGCTAACCATAATTTAATTTCATTTAGCTGATGCTTTTCTCCAAAGCGACTTACAATAGGTGCAATCAACCATTAGGGTACAAACCCAGAACAATAAAAATCAAGTAAGTACAATTAACTTCAAAAAAGCCAAACTACAAGTGCCACATGTAAGTGCCATATAAGTGAAAGTAAAGTTGTTTTTTTTAACCAAGGTGTATTCCAGGAGATGAGTCTTTAGTCTGAGGTGGAAGATGTGTTGACTTTCTGCTGTCCTGATGTCAATGGGGAGCTCGTTCCACCATTTAGGAACCAGGATAGCAAACAGTCATGATTTTGTTGAGTGGTTACCTTGCAGTTAGGGAGCAGTAAGCCGATTGGCAGATGCAGAGCGGAGTGGATGGGCTTGACAATGTCATGGATGTGGACTGGACCCAATCCATTCACAGCATGGTAAGCAAGTACCAGCATCTGCTCCTCCACTCTGACACTCAGCACTGGCTCCCCTCAGGGCTGTTCCTCAGCATATAAAGACAGCTGATGTTGCTTGTTGTGAGCAGAGATGGGTGAAATCATATTTGATGTCAAATCAATTAAGCTTATGGCTCCAGGGAAAGTATAAATAGTGCAGGAGTTAGTGAACAGCTCTGTAAGGAGCTGGTTCTATGAATCTGAGATTCAGAATGCTGTTTCAGGATATTATAGATTTCTTTTTGACTAATGGCCACCTGTCCTGACTAATAAAGTTGTAAAATAGAGTCAAACCTAGCAAATTCAGCCTCAAGGTTTTGTAGTTGGAGAGATCTGGCTTTATACAAGCCTTAGAGCTAAATGATTTTGAATTGCTCTTCATGAACTCTTTTATTGCATCCCATAGTATTAGCGTTAATAGTAATACATTGAATTCAGTTATAAATGGTTTTTCTTAAGGCTACGTTGTTCAATAGGGAGTGGTTGAAGCACTGTCTGGCTGCATGCTTAGAAAAGGGACTACAAGTGGCTGAACAAAGGACTCCTTGATGGTCTGACAAGGTTATTGGAAGCAAAACTGCATCCTAACACATTGGAAGAGCTGAAGGGAGACAAACAGATCATCTGTTTCAGAAAATTATTTATTTCTTACTGAAAAGATGTGTAATGTCTTGCAGAGGTGTTAACTAACTGCCAAATGTCTGTAAGTCCCAAATAAATGTCCCATGATCTTAAAATGTTATTTTCAGGCCCTGATCTCCTGAGGGTGCTGTGCTTGATCAGTCTATGGCTGGGTCCAACACTGCAAATACACCCCTACATTGAAAGAGTAATCAGTTAGCTGTAACATTTTAGTGGTAGTGGTGTTATTAAAAGTGCTATCAATAGGTGCGTATGCTGAAATAAAAACAATTTTCCTGAAATTAAACTCGATTCTCCTCATACCATCTGCCCAATGTAAAGATTAAAGCTAACAACTATGACCACATCTTTGGTTTTTGTGTAATCGAAGGAGGATGCTATAGTGCAATAGACTTTATTTGTAAGCCGATCAGCATCTGCTCCTCCACTCTGACGCTCAGCACTGGCTCCCCCCAGGGCTGCGTGCTGAGCCTCTTCCCCTTCCACTCATGACTGTACTCCCATCCATCCCTCCAACTCCATCATCAAGTTTGCCGACGACATCACTGTGGCTGGTCTGATTGCGGGGGGTGACGAGACAGCCTACAGAGAGGACATACAGCAGCTGGCGGCGTGGTGCTCGGTGAACAATCTGGAGCTGAACACCAGTAAGCCCAAAGAGTTGATCCTTGACTTCAGGAGGCAGAGCGGGGTCCATGCTCCACTGACCATCAACCAAGCAAGCATGGAGAGAGTGGCTTCATTTAAGTACCTGGGGACACACATCACTGAGGACCTCACCTGGTCAGCCAACACATCGGCGCTGGTCAAAAAGGCCAAGCAGAGACTCCACTTCCTGCGGGTGCTGCAGAGGAACCATCTGGAGGAGAAACTGCTTGTGTCCTTTTACCGGTTGTTGATGTACTGTGCCACAGTGTGGTTCAGCGCCTGCTTGGCTGCAGACAGGAGGGCTCTGCAAAGGATTGCCAGGGCCGCAGAGAGGATAATTTGTTCCCCTCTGCACCCCCTGGAAGACATTGCCGGCTCCCGCTGCCTCAGCAGAACGCGGGGAATCTCCAGGGACACTTTCCACCCTGGCCATGGACTGTTTAACCTGAAGCGGCGGCTCAGGTCATTAAAATGCAGAACCAATAGAATGAGGAACAGCTTCTATCCAGAGGCTGTCAGAACACTGAACTAAAAAAAAGAATCACTTTACTATGTTTAACACTGCTTGTGCAATACGTAACACTTTCCCAGTGCAATAACTTACAGGATATCCAGCCTCATCCACTGTGCAATATTACTATTCAACCACAACTACCTCTTTTTGCACTATTTTGAATAATTTTTAATGTGTTTATTTTTATCATTGTGTTTTATTTATTTTATACTAAATGCAGTGGTAGCTGCTGTGATTTCGCCATGCTTCATTGTGTGATGACATTAAAGGCATTCTATTCTAATCTATTCTTTCAACAAATGTGTCTCCTGCAGCAAGGTTATGTCAAAACATTTTTACTCTTCAAAGGACCAATAGTACATGTACACTTATGAAACCACCACAGCCCCAGACTAAATGAAAAGATCACACATTTTCTAAATGAATCGCTCCAAATGTATTCAAATAGAGCCCTCTATATGGGGCAAATCTGGAATGCACCCAAAGTAAAGTCCCTCTATACACAAGACAACCATGCAGACACAAAATATATAACTGAGGGTAAAAAAGAGAGAAATAAGCACTTGTCTCATCCGTCGTAGAAGTCCCCTAATGCATGTATGCCATAACTTCCATAATTTGTGGGACTCAAATTAATGATGAGTCACCTGTGCACACCAAAGTTAACCACGGTGTTCCACTGGGTTCTGGCCTCGGCCCAATTTTATTCACATTATAAATGCTTCCACTTGGAAATATTATCAGGACACACTCTGAAAATGTTAATTGCTACAAGGCCTTAATAATATGGAACCATCATACCGTAAAGAGCGCATAGTAACATCACCCCACTAGAACACTGTGCTCCCAGAATTCAGACTTACTTGTCGTCCCTAATGTGTAAAAAGTAGAGTAGAAGCCAGAGCTTTCAGCTATCAGGCTCCTCTCCTGTGGAATCATCTCCCAGTTTCAGTTTGGGAGGCAGACATCCTCTCTATGTTTAAGAGTAGGATTAAAACCTTCCTTTTTGACAAAGCTTATAGTTAGAGCTGGTTCAGGTTTGGGTTGGTTGGACCTGCTCTTAGTTATGCTGCTATAGGTCAACAACATGTTTTACAGAGGAACTGTTAAAGCAGCACAACATTTTTACAGAGGTTTTGCCTTAATATGGCCATAAATATGACTATTTCCTTGTATAAAGGTAGTCCCATGTACTCAGATAAATACAAGTACTCTACAGTATAAAGCTGTGCATCTTTTGCTCCTGCAAATATTTCACAATAAAACCCTTTTAAAAACTTTTTTCGTTAACAGAAATGCTGGAGTGCCTTTAATTTGAAAAGCAAACCGAAGGTGTTGCAATCATTTATATTTGTGACATAAATTAGATAAAGATTAAAAATCAGGTGAAAGATAATCTTCTGTGATTATTCTGCTGGGAACCCCATTGTTGTCTGTAACACAAACATACTTTTTTCAAAGTAAAAGCACTCCAGCATTTCACTTTGACTTTTATTTGATTGTTATCAGCAAATGGGAAGATCCACGTCCTCATACCGTAGTGTCCTGACATTTGGTTAAGTACATAATTTGACTTTTATTGCAGGAAATGCAGTAGATAAACCAGCAGCTAACATGCTGCCCGTGTGAACAACAGACAAACCAACACACAGCTGGTCTGGTCAACCGCAACCACTGTCCAGAGAGTTGCAGGGATCGACCAATCGATCGCATTCGACAGGTTAGTGACCACTGGTCTAGAATGTCGGGGGACACATGACACATGGAGCTTCTCTGTCCTCTTCTCCCTCATTATCACATCAATATCTTATTAATACATGATACCGACTTGACCTCTTCCCCTTCATCCTTTTGCTTTATCATCATGATGGCAGATCTCGATCGCATTGGCAGATTGTGGATCGTGTTGGCTGCTGATCGTGAATAGTGGTAGTGGATCATGATTGAGGAGGCAGCTGATGGTGGATGGTGGATCATGGCGATGGACTGTGTTTTATGGTGGCATCTGATTGTGGTGGTGGATCCTGATTGTGGTGGCAGCTGATTGTGGACTATTATTTTTAACAAGCTTGATATTCAATATGCCTACTCACATACTCTGTTTCTTCTAATCAATGTTGTAAATACTCACAATCTCATAATAAAACTTGTGAGATTTTGTCAGGGGGCATGTCTATGGTGTGCAATGGCCAGTCTAGTTAGGGCCCAAGCATGTACAGTTTGAGGACCCTATTGGAATTTTTTAGATTCTTTGGGCCCAAACAGCAACCTTATTAAATTTCCTTTGTCTGTCACTATATGTTCTGTCCTCCTTCAAGAAGCCATGCATTTCAAAAAACATATTTGCTACTGTCAAATTCAGTTTGTGTGATAGCCTCTGGTTGGAGGAGCTACATTATATTCCCTAAAAAGAAGGCGGACTTTGTTATTGTATTTACACATCACATTTTGTTGATATAATATACATTTAACAATGTATTATCTTTGTATGGCACTTTTTCCACTTAAAAAATCGGACAAAAAATACTTATATACAAATGTGGATCGCTCAGAAAACTACGTTTCCCTTTAAGACCTGTTTTGACAAGCAGCCAATCGGTGCCGTGACAGCCCGGCACGTGACGTAGAGTAAGTTCCTGCTCTGGCTTGAGGGAAAGAAATCTACATTCAGCCACGGGAGATTCGCACTTTGCGGGTAAGTAAAGGCACTTTGCCACAACGAAGCCAGCTGTGGGCTTTTTACGTGTTCTTTGCGGGTGGTAACCGCAGGTTGCAGTGCACTGTGGTTGAGAAATAGCCGGAATTTCGTCTGGAACAAGCTACCGTACTGTCTAGGCCTACGCTATTTCCTGGTGCAACTCCACAGCTGTATCTATTGGAATGAGCAAGTTGGAAAAGTTCAGTGGACGGGTTTTGAGGGACCGTCAGTGTTTTCCTCCCCGCCTGGTACCAACAGCAATACTCGGTTATGATTCGTATTGAATTATCGATTGTGGAAAAGGCACTGTTTGACCGTATACCCGAACGTAAGAGCTGTCCATACCGAAACCTAGCTGTCAGGATTTGTTCGCCCGTGGAAAATACTAGATAATCGGACCACCCTAAATTATACTGAATTACAATGTTTTAAAATGGTTTTATGAAAAGCCACCATGTCGAATTTAAAGAGCTCTCTCGTTTTGACGTGAGAGTTATTCTGCTCACAGATAAAATCAAGCATTTGCAGATACAGTCGATGTTGTCTAAGTGAAAGTGTCTCTGCTTTGGTAACCAACCTTTCCAAGCCCAAGATCACTTTTAATTCCAAAATCCGAAAACGATATTTAGTATTTTTCAATTTCTGTTTCAGGCTCAATGTACAAGCATACACAAAAAGAAAGACAGTTGTGCCACTTTATGTATTCAATTCACAATATTCACATTTATATCTCTTCAATACAAACTGTTCATATTTACAGTATCTGATCAGTGCTACAATATTTAGCTTCTCACTTCAGCATTATGTTTTACTGCCAGCCCCAGGTTTTACATAGAGTTGTCTTGTAAATGGCCATAATTATGACCACTGTACTATCCTTCATAAAAGTAGTCATCTTAACTCAAACAAATACCTGTACGATACAGTATGAAGCTGTGCATCTTCCGCTTTTGCAAATATTTCACAATAAAAACCTTTTTTAAACAAATTATTTTATTTAGTCACCAAACGCTGGAGTGCTTTTACTTTGAGATAAGTATTGCAAATATGTATGTTTGTAACATATTCCACAGAAACTTTGAAACTGGTGAAAGATAATTTTCATTGTCTATTTTGCTGTGATCTGCAAATTGCATCAACAGACTGCAACACACAGGTTGTACTCATCTTTTACAATGTTAGCAGAAAATGTACAGTTTACAGCAGTACTACTATGAATATTTCCTTGTGAATCCAGTTTCCAAACTCTGGCTGTTGTTTCCAAAGTTGTGAATATTTGATATTGAATATCCCTTGGAATCACCCTGAATTCATTGTAATTGTTATTTGCTATTAAACTCCACATTAACCAGATGCTAAATGGTTTTTCAGATTTTTCAGGCCTCACACTCCAGCCTACTGTCATAGGCTTTAAAAGACTGAGGAAACATGACCTATTTGTAGTTTCATATCTGCAATGCAAACACAGCTGATCAGAGTTGATATTTTGGAGGCATTACAAATAAATGAATGTTTAAACTGTAGCAGGTCAGAGACATTAGCTGAGTCAGAGAGAGAGTGAGAGAGCTGAGACACTGCTCTGCCTGGTATTCCTTCTGTGTTGTCGCTGTTAATGTACTGGGTTTTGAACCTTGGATTAACTAGCAAAGCCATAACCAGCAGGTCATCTGTGGTGGGATCCTGATATTTGTTTGTGAGGTAATTAAGAATGGTTGTCTTCATTGTTTTTATTTGTTCAGTGTTGTCCTCATTCAGGTCCAAATGTTGACTTTCAACAGGTTTAACTTGACTTTATGTAAGAGACACTCCGGTCTTCAGCTTCAGCTCTGTTTGGGTATGCCAAGTTGCTCTTTTTCTTCCAGATGAAGGAGAATGTACTCACCACCTTCTTGCAGACAGATGTTGCATGATCAACACAAGGATTTTTGGCACTTTTTTGTGATTAGAAAGAAGAATATGATTTCTTTCATAAGCTCTATTTTAACTTTTCCAACAGTTTATTTGAAAAGAAACTTCATCTTCTTGTGCTTCTATATGCTGTATTTATATGTATCACAGACATCTGCCACGTCATTATGATAATTCAAGATTCAGTTTCAAACTCTAACCCTAAATTCACATAAGTTTAAGATACCTTAAATTAAGTTTGAACTAGTTATTTCATGGTTTAGTAAAACATCAACATTTGGAACAGTAAAGAGAAGAACACTACAGAACATGTCGGCCTGACTAGTGTTATCACAATACCAAATGTGTATTTTTGATACCGATACCAAGTCATGAATTTGATACCGATACTTTTCTTAAAAAAGGGAGTCACTATATCTGAGCAAGTGACACCACACTTCAGTAGTAAAAAACAAAATGGGTTTGAAAAATTATTGTGATAAATTTGTCATATCAGAGGGCCTTATTAGTTTGTGAGGTTACCAGTAGTGTGCAGGTTAATCCTGGGTTTGGGCTTCATCACCATGAAATGCCAGACTTATAATCATTTATGCTCATTATTTCCATGCTTGATAAAATTGTAGTTTTCTTGTTTGTTTGTATTCGTGCATTTTCACAATGGATAAGTAGCCTTTATTTTATAGCATTAGGCTATGTGTAATTTGAATGACCGTAAATGAACAACGTCATAACTTGTTAACTTTAATAACAGGATTCTTGAGAAGTGGGACAAAACAGGATCCAATATTGAAAAATAAAACCTTAAGCTCAGACAAATTAAACTACATGTATCTATCATGTACTAAGAAGTATGCTTGAAACAACCTCCCAACTTTTCTCTTTTTTAACAAAATGGGCTTTTTGGCTTGCAATCACTTTCACATTATTTTGTGTTCATTCACTAAATTTATTAGAACATTGTGAAGCAGAAGTGTTTTCTTAAGTGATGGAGAGCTGATATTTCTACCACGCAGAATTCTCTCAGTCTTCTTGGTGATTCAGATGGTGTGCTCTTCTTTTTTTCTGTTTAATATGCCATATCTACGTTCTTAATTTGGGCATAATTTGAGATTGCTCTTTATATTTAAAATTTCTCTTTAATGTCTCTGCCTTGTTTTGACCCTCTCTCTTTTCTTCGCTTTCTTGATTCTCTTTGGCTATGCTTCCAATTATTTCTCCTTTTCCTCTGTTTTCTTTCAGTCATATCCTTTATTTGCTTTATTTTTCCTTCAGGGCAATTTCTGTTAAAGGCACAATGTTCAAGCATAAATATACCCAAAGAAAGATAGTAATGTGACCAGAGGTTGATTTAGCAATTTGGGGGCCCAAAACGAACACAGGCATGGGGCCCTCCGCATCCGTTGTTCTCCACCTTTTTCAATCCTTATGTATGAAGAAAGTCCTACGAGTAGCTTCTTCCCTACCCAACACAATGTAACCCTAACCCTAACATAATAATTGCACACACAACAATATGATCTCTGTACAATAAGAATGAACTGTTTTGTTCATTCACATGGAATATCTGTCATCCCTTACCTTGGTTTTCAGCAGGATCTCTGATTGAAGTTGATGATAGGCCTCTGTCTTACAGCTTGTTTTAATTAAGTGAGAAGATAACACACAAGACAATCAGAGGTAAATTATGGAGTTACAGAAATAATAACAAAATATACGAAAAAATGATTACCATTACCGTCCCTATCTTTTTCTTCCTCTTCTCCTTTGTCCCTGTTTTCTCTTTCTCTCCCTTGATTGTTTTTATTTTCATGTATTTCTCTCGCGTTTTTAAAAATCATCATCATATAGGCCATCATGTGAAATACCAGGAGGGAGTGAAAATGTGTGTGTGCATGTGTGCCCCCACTCACTCGCTCAGAGCGACACACACAGTGAGATAATAGGAGCGTTACCATGAAGCAGCCAGTAAGTGACTTTGTTGAAGAACAGTGGAAACACAAAGTTTCTCTGGTCACAGCTGCTTCATGATCAGAGCAGAAAATGCAGTTGGTTTGTATCGAGCTGGAGTTTGTTTCCTCCTCCACTCTGAGCTGCTCTCACTTTAACTAATAAACAGAGTTAATGAGGCTGCATTTAATCATGTGTGCGCTCAGTACCGCATGAGATGCGACACACACAGTCAGGCCTGGAGCGACACAGATTCATGATCTGACACCATTGACTAATTACTAAACATGATCATCATCTAAATAATTCCAGTAAAGAACGTGACAAATGAATGTGAACAGTTCATTTTCATCTGTATGGACTGAACTTGATCTTTTTAAGTGTGAACTGGCACAACACTGCTTGTCAGTTTGTGTTTACACCCCGAATCACTTCCGTGTATGCGTTCATGGAATATTCCATTGTAGTGGGGACTGAGGGGGGAGGGGGTTGCTGAGACACTAGTTACTCAGGAATTACAAGCCATTTTAGCGTATGGATTTTGGAATGAAATTATTAATTAATGAAAAGTTTTGAAAAAAATCTTACTCATGAGTTTATTAGGTGTTTTGGGGCCCAAGGCTATTGCAGACCTTTGCCTAATAGTTAAGCCCACCTCTGAATGCAACTGTTGCATCTATTCAATGCACAATATTCACATTAATGTCTATTCATATTTAACTTCTCAGTTCAACAATATGTTCTACAGAAGAGCTGCCACTGCAGCACTATGTTTTTACATAAGCCATGCCTTAATATGGCCCGTGTTTTTGCAAAGAGAACCTCAGATATCTTACACACTGCTACTTTAAAAATATCCTGAATAAATAAAAATATAGCTGCAAGCGGCAATGAGCAGGGTCGAGCCTTAATTTGTTCAGTAAGAGCAGCACATTATAGGTCATTTAGTTGACATAACATTGATGGGGGGATGCAACAATTTTTCCCAAGGAAAGTTCGGTATGGGCTGGGATTTGGGCCACCAACCTTGTGGCCAGAGGACTACTCCACCACCCCCTTAACCACAGCCAACCACAGAAAGCAGCCAAATTAGAGGAAGCAGCTCAATAAGAAGAAGCAGCTCAATAGGAGGAAGTGGTTCT